TGGGCTTTCTTCACGTTGTGCTGGTAAACAACGCAGTGAAGCTGGCCTGCACGTTTTGCCCCACCCTGCGCACTCAGGCCTCACAGTTCTCGGGTCTGCGGTGTGTGACGGTGTTGTTAGCTTGTCAGGGCTTGGTCCGCTAAAATGTTAGACGTGGTCCGTGTTGTTTGCTACGCTTCCAGGTGTTTCATGCACTGGCTTTTCAGCACGCGTATGCAGTTTCGCGGGGGAAGGTATACCTTCCCCGGGGGAAGGTATACCTGCCCATTACGTAATGGGCAGCGGGGTACACCGACTGGCATGTGGTGCCTGGTATCATGGTGTGCAGTTCGGCAGTTTGCCAATCGCTGTGTTCTTTGGAGCGTTTAGGGGCTTGCTACTTGCTATGTAGGCGCTATGTAGGTAGGTGGCCTGGGGCTGCTGACGTGCACGTCAGCATGTGCTGAGTAGCTGGCTGCAATTTGGTTGGTGCTGCTCATCTGCAACAAACACCAATCAGGGCGTGGTTCGTTGCTAGAGTCCTCATCTGCCATTGCCACCAAGTGGCGGTAGCAGTGCAGTTGCATTGGGGATTCGGAGGGCAGACTAGTGTTGATTAATGCTCGTTTCCATGGGCATGCGGTGTCTTGCAGGCGGTGGTGTCCCGTGGGTCCCTTGCCCCGTGTGCCCACTGAGCACCTTTCGCTGTGCACACTCAACGCAGCGCAAAATTATTGAATGATCGTTAATATGCAGCAAATGGGGATTCTAATTCCTAAGTTTCAGCGACCCTTCCACCTGAAAGCAGCCGAGACCTTAGCTGAGATTTCTAAACTTCTCAACTAAACCTAATTAGTTTCTAATTAGGTTTAGTTGAGATAAAATTTCTATCTAAGGAAATTAACAACCCTATTCAGGAGGGTACTCTCCGGTGGCAGGGTGGTACAGGAGGGTACCCTCCGGTGGCAAGGTGGTACATGTACAGGAGGATACTCTCCGGTGGCAGGGTGGTACAAGAGGGTACTATCTGGTGGCAGGGTGGTACAGGAGGGTACTCTCCGGTGGCAGGGTGGTACAGGAGGGTACTCTCCGGTGGCAGGGTGGTACAGGAGGGTACTCTCGGGTGGCAAGGTGGTACAGGAGGGTATCCTCTGGTGGCAAGCTTAAGGTGGGACATGTACAGGAGGGTATCCTCCGGTGGCAAGGTGGTACATGTACAGGAGGGTAT